CCTTCAACAGCATCACGTGTCAAAGCTCCTCATGATCTTGAGGTTGGAAAGCCACCTCGTCATCACCTCGGTGATCCAAAGCAACTCCGATTGCCAAAGCTCATGATGTCTTGCTGCACAACTCAACTGCTTATGAAATATAGGCAAAACAGAATAGCATTCCAAGCGTAGGAAGTCAAGTAACTTTATATGGCTTAGACTTAGAATATTGGGAGACCCCCCAAACCTCTAGGAACATCAAACAACATCAAAAAAAACCATTGGAACTGGGGGGTTCCCACTGAGGTCCCCCTAATATAACTCTACAATCTCCTCAATAATCCTTTCAGCAATTTGTGCTCGAGGAGCCCAAAGGAACTGCTTGTGGATGACCACTGGGCAGCTGGAAACTCCGTTTGTAGGGACCATTCTCCTCCAAGGTCGGCGTAGCACCACGTGCATGGCGCTCCATCAGCATTCGACCACGCCTCAAATGCTGGCCACCACACAAGGAGCACTTTGGTTTGGTATATCATAATAGTCTCATCCAGGCTAGAGTAGAGAGAAGAAAAGGCAGGCATGGCTAACATGGTCCGGTCCAACAGAAAGCACGCAACTCAGATGGCCTGGATGGATCTTGCACACCGAGGTACCCCTGCCGGAACCCGCTGTAGTCGCTCGTGTTGGAGCCTCGAGAATCCTGGATTGGGGACTGGGTGTGGGTCCCAGTCCCACGACATCAGGTGTAATCGATGTTCTTCGGGTAACTCTGTCTCTGACCGCCATGGCCTGCTCTTCTGTTATCTTCTGTTCGTCTGGTGCTCGTCTGTTCTCTCATCTTTTCTCCGATTCTCCTGCAGAACAGGACTCTCTCTTCTGCCGAAATCGAAGGAAAGCATAGAGGTGATAAACAAAAACATGAAGGAATTGAACATGCCCCTTTAAGAGGTGGTAGTCAAGGTTCAGTCCAACTCCTACTTTGCCGTTCGACAGTCGTGTCGTGTCTCATCGTGTCTCTATCAGCCCCACCCCGGGGTTCACTGGGTTCCCCCCACCGGCCGCCCTTCACTCGGTTCCCGTGTACTGTGGCTCATGGCCTCAGCAGCGGAGTACATGTCACGACCGAGATATCAATCTGCGCAGGGCCGCAGTTAACCCAATTTGCATTCGGCCTGTCGTTAAGCTGGTGACCATTGGAGGCATGGCCTTTTTGACACCATTCGCCGCTGAGGCTCAAGACGGATGGTGGCCGCGGCGAATGGCGGCCTCTCCAAGAAACGGAGATCCAACAAACTGCAGGAACCACTCGCAATGTCATGCCGCTTCAAAGCTTTGAGCTTCTTTTTGCCAACCCCCTACGGTTGCAACCTGCTCCTCACAACCAGAAATGCTTTTCGTATCTTTTCGTTGGATCCCAACAGCCGGTCTTGTGGAATGTCAAGAGGCACCTGCATCTGCCATCTTCAGACCTCACTGCCATCAAATCAGGTTAAATGCCATCTGCATTTACTCAAGCCAATGGGCTTGCGGGCTTCTTCGCTAACCCCTCATTGAACCGGCAAATGCTCTTACTAGTATACTTACAACTGATCCTACAGAGCCCGAGCCTCGAAACCTCGTCTTAAAAATCTAAACATCCGTGAATCGCAACGTTTTTCAGCTTCCCGCCGTGGCGGATGCCGCTGGGGTGCCGCAGCGGCGGCTTCTCCTCGGCCAGGGCCACGCACGGCCGTTTGCTGGGTGAGGAGGACATCTCAGTGTGACAAGCCGAATCTACACACCAGCTCTAGACCAGGAAAAAACAACATATTCCAAGATGTGGTAGGATGAGATGACGATGATCAACAGCACATCAGAAAATGAACAGATTGGCTGATTGGCTACTATCCCTGCTGACTCCTTGGCCTCACTTGGAGCTTTGCACCTGATACAAGCTTCACGATTATGGAACAAAATCATTGACCCCGCAAAAGCCACAACAGTTTAGTTTTCTGGCTACAGCATTTTATGTTTGAGGTCAGAGGTTGCGACCTAGTCTTAGAGCATGGGAAAAGCCTGTATCATCGGGAAAGCTGAAAGCTTGTTAGGAAGTTAGCCCCTCTGTGTTTGAACAGCGAAGGAGCAAAACAACCAGTCGGCATGCCGAGTCCCGAACAGCATCAGCTCATCGTCGTCCATTCAGGATGGAGGGAGACCCTGTAGCGCAGGTGGAGTAAGAACGAACCTTTCAGGAAGTCTCTAAAACCCTTCGTGAACACCCTAAATAAGAAATGGAGCGTAGCAATCCACCTTGCCCGTCACTCACTCAAGTGATTGAATTGGCATGTTCAAAATGGAAGTTAACCCATTCACCGGTGCCATGTCTTTTCTTGTGAAGCAGCGAGCGACGCAGGCCACTCAATTCCAAGCGGAAGCCTGGGTCTATTCCCTCCAGATTTGGTCCCCCTGGTTGGTTCAAGAGCGACCATGCCTCGTAAAACATTGAGGTGTTCTTAAATGAATTGAAGGACACAGGCGTCTCCACAATCCACTGACGGTTATGCTGAATGCAAGGCAAAAACAAATGACTCCGACCAGTCCAGAAATTCCATGCGGGCTGTCCATCGCCCATGTGCGGATCCGCAGGAGGGTGATGGGTGGAGATGCCTCGCAAAGGTCGGATACTGAACCATTCTCGGCCGAGAACATCGGTAGTGACAGGAGATGGAAAGACCTTGACTTCCTTTAGGCATGCTGCCAGCATCAAGTCTTCTCTGTGTCCTGTGGCAAAAGCACAGCGCTGAAAGTCGGGGTATTCTTCAAGAACGCCTGGCATGGTTTGCAAGACTCGTTGGAGAGCCCACAAGGCACCTCCGGATAAACACACCCCTGGACCACCGTCGTTGAACACCAAACCCATTCGGGGCAAGTCCAGAAATTGCCGGACCCCGAGATAATGGGGCTCTGATGCATCCAAACGCTCGGATGCAACAAGGAATCGGAAATTCTCCGGTATAAAGAAGGTATCTCGTTCCAAGCGGCAATACCACCATTGTCCTGTGGAGACTCCTGTGGAGTGCATGTGTTCACCTGCCCAGCGCAACATATGCAAAAGTTTGATGATGGTGTTGAAACTGTCATGCCCTGGACGGTCACCCGTTTCTCGATGAAATTCATCTTGATCGGGTGGCACCATTGGATAGATCTCGTGCAAATTGATCACCGAAAAACTTGAACCATCTGAGAACATCTCAAGGTCTCTTCTCACAGCGTTGGCAGAAGATATGAAAAAATAGAGCTCATCGCAGTCTTGCCCAAACGTTTCGACAATCGCTTGCAAGAAGGGCTTCTGGCGCGGCCACACAATTGGCACCAAACAACTCACCAACGGCAAATTTTGTGGAGTCTGCTCTAAGCCATTCCAATGCGGTGGTAAATTGCCGATTGCTTGATTCCAAGAGATCATCTCTGCGGCAGCAACTGCTCGAATTCCCTCCCAATTTACAGGCTTGAGCCTTTTTTTCGAGTGGGCATGCAAGTTCCTGCTTGAAGTACCTCGTGACAGCTCCTCCAATCAACTCAATCCCAGTTCCAGAAACTTCGACAAGCACTTTTGTGTACGAGGATAGCAGCTGCCTTGATGAGGTGTTGAAGAATGTACTCCAATCCGAGCTGTCAAAGCAAGAAGCGCCTCCGAAGGAAGCCACATACATCAAGGCAGCATCATAGAGCAAAAATGCCGCACCGAGCGTTGACCAGGTCTTTTCGTAGAAACTCGCACAGATCGACGCCTCCACCGCCACTGCTGCAGGACAACTCCTGGAGAAGGCCAGATGAAATCGACCAGCTTCGTTGGCGGTGATGCTGCAGCGTGGTGACAAGGGTGTCGCTAGCTCACAGGTCACGCATTCGTCCGCCTGGGCGATGAAAACCGCCCAGGAAAAAAGGCCAAAGAGGCTGAAACCGAGCGGTTCCAGCATCCGTGTGTTCGACCGAGGGCAAATGAATGCCCAGGGATGCCATCAGAGCATACATGAGGCACATGACTCGTGAAGATCTTCCAATGCACATTAAGTTAGTGCGATTCTTTTTCCGAAAATCCTAGCTTGTTTCACTGACTCTCTTGTCTTTCAAACTAACTATTTGGGCTGAGGGGTTTTATGTCCACAGTGCAACACGCATCATTGCATCAACAGCTCCTGATGATCAAATCAAATCCGCAATGTACAAAGAAACTGTTTTACATTATGGATTCTGATTCATGTCAAGTATTTTTCAAATTATTTCCACATAGAATTAATATGTCTCCACCTCCAGTGGGAGCCTGATGACATGTGATGGCACTGTTGGGATAGAACATGATAAAACCGGAGATCAAATTCCTGGCTGCTTAAGGTGCAGGAAGTGCCCTTCTTTGCGGTTTCCTTGGTGCATTGGTATCACCACTTCCAGGGGCCCACCACAAACTCAAAGGGCTTTGCCTGCCTCGTTAGATGCGAAGCAAAGTACTTAGTCACTAAGTCTGAGTCCAATGGCAAACTTATCTCAGTTGTGTCAAGGAAGGGAAGCTCCCCAAAGGCCATAGGACAAGCAGAACTACCCTCATTTGATTTCATAGATTGGGTCATTTTCTGGATGTCAATTTTGGACATCAACGCACCGCCCCCTCGGGCTATTTCTTTCTCGCAAGACGAGCTGCGTCTGGCGCTGCCTGTGGCAGGGTGAGAACAACTAAGCAACTAATCGAGTTGAGCGTCTCAAACCTCTGGAATCTCCGTCCTCTCACGATCCCATTCGGGATCCGATTCGGGAACGAGGGGAATAGACAGGTGGACTTCCCCGAGTCCTCCTTGCAATCCTGAAAGGAAGACTTGGTGAAGCCCAAATTAGCTATGCACGAATTGCCGTGAAAACCAACGTTTCTAAGCCCAGCATCCCATTTGCTACGATCGAAGCGATTTTTAGATTCCTGGTGCAAAAATAACAACCTCTGCTGCTTTTCAAGCAACTTTTTTCAGCTATTGGAGTGGATGTTCTTTTTTGGCAGCACCTTTACTTGACATTTCTTGGGATCCAGTGCCCTTTTGTCCAGATGAGGCGCTCAGCAAAAATGTCAGAACCTGAGCAGCTTGCTGCGACCGCGGACGTCATGAGGGTGCTGCTTTCGGGATTCGGACCACTCAGCCAAATGTGAAGTGCGTCATGGCCTCGGTGAGAGCTCCGAATCTGCGGATTTCTCAAACATGTCGAGATATCTGCGCAGGGAAATTCCAAGTCTCTAACTTAGGGCTGTGCAAAGATTGCCAACAATTGCCAAAACAAGACTTAATCATTCATGTTCTGCTTTAAAGTTAGCCTCTGGCGCGGTCGTGTTCGCGAAGGTCTGCCAGGACCTTCACAGTTCTTCGGTCTTATCAAGGCAAGAAACAACATGCTGAGGGATACCTCTTTTGTCTTGACTCGTCTTCAACTTCAACTCACTTAGAAAAAACCGTATAAATCACTTAGAAAGGTTTCACGCCGCATGGCAGGTCCGGAAGCCCGGCAAGTTCGCATGGCACGCCGATTCGGCAGACTGCCACACCTGGCCCCGGTCATCCAAAGCAGCACCTGATCGAAGATACCGACACCAATGCGATATCGTTCTTTCCCAAAAATGGCATTCGAGTCAAAGGAAGCATTCGGCCCAACTTCCTGACTCAGAAGTATAGCAGCAAAGTCTTCCTGCCTGCCACAACGTGAAGTGGCAACAAATGATCTTCGCGGCCATGTACCTGAAGAAGCCACAAGACATCTTGGGAAGAGATGGTGTTTGAATGTGTTTTGATGTTACGTGATCCGCTGGGTGCGGTAGGAGGAATCACTAGGAACTAACTCAGGGTAGTTTCCCTAAGATGCTTTTTGACTCCAAGTGGTCTCATCTCGCCTCTCGAGCGTGAGGCAACATGTAGGTCCACTGTCGAAGGCCTTCGTAGCCTGAGCAGAATGATGCATGATGTTGTCTCCAAGGCCCTGCAACCCACTATACAGTGGGTGAATGCAAATGATGACACATTGTGACAACAGCTCTTTCAGCATCAGCTGCGCCCTCATCTACGACATCTTTGAGACTTGTCTTGCGATTCTGCATCAGTGCTGCAGCATGTTCCCCCTGTCAAGTCACGTTGGGCAGGCTGCGCTTTGCAGCAGAGGCGTTTCAATTGCTCGGCCCACCTGCCATCAACGGAACATCGAAGCGCCCGCGCCCTTCAGAACTCGACCTGGTCGACCAAAACCAATTGCGATCATAAGCTAAGTATAGCAGTATAACTGCTATATTGTACTGTATATGATTAGAAAGCACCGTACAGTATACTGTTGGATCATCTTTGAACGATTCATCTCGGAACGGCACGGGCCGACCGTTGATCCGGCCGAACGCCGACCTTTCCAGGTGCTGCGGCTTCGCCGAGGCGGTGGACGCTAGCCCACTGCCGATGATCAGAACACCTCGGGACCTGGAGAGGAGGGGGACGCGAGGAACTCGCCGTTGAATCTGGAAAACGTGCCGGACCCTCTTGGTACTTGTTTATTTTTTTATCTGGAAAACTGCCGTTGATCTGGAAAACTCTTTGTACTTTTCTTTTTTTTTTTTTTCGGTGGACGCGGATGGATGGGTGTTTGGCGCCGTGAGATGATAATTGATGTTGGTCAGGTTGGTTGGTCAGGGGAGGTGATGTCGGAAGTTCAGTTGAAGCAAGATGAAATAAGATGAAACTGATGTTCTGTCGCAAGCAAATTGTCCGTCTTGTACGCCAGGTGAAAATGCTCAAAGGATCTCAAACCATTCTATGTTTGGGTTTAGTAGGTCGGTAGATTGATATTTGGATGAGTGATGAGTGGACACATTGCATGTCAACATTGTCACGTGTCAACATTGTCATCGTCTAACCAATGATTGATGACATCGTTAGTGAAATCATTGCTGGACAATGTTCGGCAGCGAAGCTACGAAGCTGTGACGCACCCGACGCGCCTCAAAGGAGCCAAAGCCCGGCCCACCTGGATGCCCGTGACCATGGGTCACGTGGTGCTTTGCTTTGATCAAGCTCCAGTCGAGACTTATGGAAAGGGCCCAAAATGAACATCCCATGAAAGTGAGGGGTTCAAATGGAAGGATTGATGATAATTGATGTGGTCCTACTAAGAAAATCAGCACATCAAAAGCCAGATGGAGGATTCTGGGTCCCTACTGCTCGAAGAGAAGGCCGGCAGCGTTAAGCGAAGTGCTTTTAGAACACTTGACAAGTCTCTGCGACGTTGCCACCTCCAAGCAATGCTGTGCCACTTCAGCTCCTCTTTGACCACTCAGTGCCGGAAGGCTTAGCTGTACCACTGGGATGTTCATCAACTCCGGCCTCAGTGGGGCACCTTTTGGCACCCCTGTGACTGATGAATATGGCCATGAAGACAGTGCAAAGCAAATGGCATGGGGGGAATACGTTTTCTCGGCCGGCCCAGGTCAGGTCCGGTGAAATGGCTGGATCCAAGACCTGACTTGGTACCCTGGTGAATATCCTGGTATTTGGTGGTCTTAGATTGACCTTCCCAAACAGTTTTGTGGTTCAACTTCGGCACCTGACTGTTTCCCCACCAATGTTCAATCCTCTACCCCTTAGAGGAACACGCCACAAGTTGATGCTCAAGTGCTGGCCATGCGGCATTAAAGTCAGAGGCACGAACACACCGTGATCCTCAGCTCATCAACATCCACAAATGCATGTTGGCGTCTTAGGCCAAATTAAGGTAGCCTGGGAACAACAAATAACTGCCGAATGAGGCCAAAAACCTACAATGCTGTGTTTGTTCAAACCAAATGCAAACAAAGCTCAGGTCAAAGACCCAAATACCTGACTCGGATTTGACCAAAAATTCCCTATCAAAACTGCCCTATCAACAGTGGTGACCTGTAAAGGCAGCTGCCTCGTCTCCAAGGCTCGAGATTTCGTCCGGAATTGTGTCTGACCTCCTTCCCAGCCGCACTTAAGAGATCCAAGATCCAACCCGACCTGGTCAGCGAACGACGACGGAGCCGAACTTCCTTCGTGATCGAATCGGTGACTTCACAATGACTTCCATCCAAATGAGACAGTATCAGCTGCACATCATGTTGGTCTCTAACGCATTTTTAGACCTCCACCCCGAACTAGGATTCTAGTCTCGTTTTTCATTGTTTGTCCTACAGCCTAGACAGGATCTTTGGCTACAGTGGCTATGGCTTTTGTGCAATGTAACAATGGGAGGATGTTCTCCACATCTGTGCTTCATCTGTTCCACAAGGTTTGTTGAAGCGCTCTGAGTTTTCTGGCACTTCTGCATCACCTGATGGGTGGAAGCGCTGGTGTACCTGCGCTTAAACGCAACAGGACGACTGCGCCCCAAGTCAGGACTGGAAAGCATGCTCATCATGCCTTCCTGCACTTCTTCCTTGCATTTCTTATTTAAAGCTGCCATCTCACTGTCATTTCCCTACAAAGTAACTTGTATCTGTATGATCTCTAGAAAATCTGTGAAATCTTCAATCTGTTGCTCCAAATGTAGGCCTACAAGTAGTAACTAAACTAGGCCATGTCTGAACATGTCTGCCTCGTAGGTCTTCTCAGGAGCTCCAGCATAGTCATAGAGCAACCCCTGACCATGGGTTCTCCTCAGCGTCACCTGGCACGAAGTGGACGACTTGACTCTCATCCTCCCAGTGAATCGGTGGGGAGATTCCATCCAAACATATAGAAAGAGTGCCTAGAAATACAAACAGTCTAACACTTAGTAAGGGAGCCACATCTGATTTTGTGCTAGAGTTGTGTTCTAATCCTCTTAGACCAAGGTACCAAAAAACAGCCAATTCTTGGCGCCTCCAGCCCTCCCTTGGTCTCCCAGTGCGCGGAGATCACGAGGATACATCTCACCTCGATGGTTCCGGAAGCAAACAGCTTTAGGGCCCTATGTGAGGCCAGGCCTCTGTGAGGCCTATGCGAGGAGGCCGGTGTGAAAGAACACGCCCCTACTGAAGTGAACAGCTGCGAGCTGGTGGTGCTTGCTTGGAGCTTAGACGAGTTCAAATTGAGTTATTCAAATGAGCACAAATGTGACTGCGATGAATGCTGCTTCATGCTGCTTCTTAGCTCGACTCATGCGAGCCTGAAGGAAACTCCCACCAAATGGACCAGGTACCAGCCAGAAAAGCAGTGATAAGATGTGATAAGTAGATCGCGCTCCACGCGGCAGCGGCAGCGGATCATTGGAACGAAAGGACACCCAACATCCCCAAACATCCCCCAAGCCCGATTCACCCCAAGTTCCGATTCGAGCGGCATTTTCTTCGTCCAGCTGCAAGCGCGAGGGGATCTCTGCCAAGGATCGCCGAAAGGGATGCGCTTCGTCCAGGAGCAAAGGCATTGGCCCGATGCCATGCGAGATGAACCTGAATGAAGGAGCTTGGGATGCCATGGATGGCACTATAGGAATGGACACGATCTGACGCGCAATGGATCATGCGGGTTCCGTAGAGTCCAAGGCGCAGTGGATTGGATGAGATGCTTCGTTCATCTGGTCCTTTGGCCTTTCTTGATCCTTTTTTTGATCCCTATCTTGCGCGATCATTCACATGCAGGAGTTACGTGTGTTGATCAGGGACGGGAAACGGACGTAGCGCTCCAAATGTCATCTCCTTTTTCCGTCCTCATCTAAGTCCACCAAGCTGCAAGGTGGGAAGCTTTGGCATCTCGGAGCGATAGCTACTGGGTGACTCCTCAGCTTATGCAAACAGCTCAAAAAGGGCTTTCAGCAACACAAACTTTGCAGCGAAACCATTTCAGAGAGGCTGCAAACTGTAATGCGCAAAAGACGCTCAAAAGACCAAAGACGTTTTTTTTTCCATCCAAATCAAGCTCTACATAAGACGGATTCAAGTCTTAGAGGTCATTGTTTGAGAGTTACTCCATGCACAAACTATGTTTGAGAGTTACTCCCTAGGACAATGTTCTGGACTTTAACAAGGCGCCCATGTGCGCCCATGCTTGCTTTCATTTGCCTTGAGTGTTTGCTTTCACTTGCTTCAATCATGAAGGTGTGTCTTACAATGTCTTACCATGTCTTACCCATTGGCATATGCCGCATGCCAGAATCAAATCAGCCCAGGCACGCTTGGCTGGAAAGCATTCTCGAAGCATTGCTGCCTAGGCTGACAGTTCAGGTGCTGAGTGGCAGTAGGTGAACACTTTAGAAAAGGTGCCTTCGCATGAAGCTGTGCGCTTGGCATGAAGATCCAGACAGAACCCACATGTCACAAATGGTACCCACAAATTGGTACTGTAACAGTGTCCGCACCAAGTCGTGGGATGTCCAGTAAAATGTATCTCAACCACGCAAACTTTGGTGGCACGAAACCATCTGAAAAGTCCACCAAAATGAAACTCCTAAACTTACTCACAAAAAAATCACATATCAATACATATCACAAATCATCACAAATCTCACGTATTACATATCATCTCCTCTTCCTCCTCCTCCATCCATCCATCCATCCATCCTCGACCACCCAAGTTCTCTTGCATCCAAACTGCCCAACCTTGGCTGTCGAAGCTCAGTCAGCCAGTCGAGTCGGCCAGTCACACAAGTTGCAGGAACGAACGCCAGCTATGAGATGGTCGGCTCGGCTTTCTGGTCATATCAGGCCCCTACCACATTTGACATTTAAACCTCCCAGTTCCAAACTGTTCCAACTTCCAAGCTGTTGTCATTGATGTCTGGCCAAGCGGCTGAAGAATGATAAACACTTCGTGCGTTGACCTTCTTCTTCCCGCGACTTCGTGGACCCTCAAGGTCTTCATCCTTCGAAAGGCGTTTGGTGTTCAGTGTCGGAGTACTGTGAAGGGGTCCACCATTGTGATCTTGATCGATTGGCTTTGGTCTGTGCCAACGTTCTAACAGCTTTTTCCACCCTATGGCATTATGGCTGTTCTCTCCTGGAGGTAAAGGCCTGCGCAGCCATCGAACATATTTTGCAGTGAGGGATTTGTCTTCTTGGCATGAGCCTCACATCAGGCACGTCAACATCTTGCAAACAAAGCAGCAAACAACTGGGTCAAGGACAATGCAAAAGCAACGCCTTGCGATTTGTTTACATGTTCAAAGTACAGTATCCTTCCAAAAAACCTGCCTCCTAGCCTGAAGGTTCTTTCGTGAATTCAAGTCGTGCAGAAATCCGAGCTCTTCGTTTCCTCTCCATCATACCGGCCTCCTTCAGAGTTGGAGAGCCACAAACCAAGTCGAACCTCGGAAAAGGCCCAACTGAGAACCTGAGAACCCCCCAGTGGACCACTCAATACCCTCATACGTAAGTGGTCGATCAATTCCTACATTTTCCTACTGCATACCTACTGAGGGGTAAAAGAAAGGACAGGGTGTTGCACTTTCTTTTTGAAGGGATCGTCAAAACCAATTGAAATTAGTGTGCCAAAGTTTGGCCGCAACAATTCCAAATGAATCACGTTTAATCCAATTTAAAGGTTCCATCTAAGTTCCTTATAAAAGCCTTAGAGAAGGCTTCAACACTGGGGGTTTTGACTGAAATCTGGGAGTAGAACCCAAATGAATCCAACATCTTACTGTCAGGCACGGTCTACACGGTGACCGACCGTAGACCTCGACCATCTCCGTCCAGCGACTGACAACCTCCGCCCAGCGACACGTCTTGCGAGTCCGCCACGTGTGGGGCACCGCCAAAGTCGCGCTTTCCTTGGCCTTGGCGAATCGGAGATGAGCCGAAGCTCGGCCATGGCAGTGGCCATGGCTGCCAAAGAGCCCCATGAGTTGTCCAAGGATTTTGGGTAATCTTGAGTCAAGAAGGCCCATGAATGAAGGTCCGGAATTTCCCTTCCCCAGTTGAACTAGTAGGTTGGAGGCCATCGCGTCTGTCGCAAACGCGCTTGTAGCAAGGGCTGCCCAGCTGCGACGGACCGGCCCAGTGCCCGCATCGTCCGCTTGAAGACTTAGCCCAGCGTGTCCATCAAACATCCGCTCTTGAGAACCTTAGGATCCGAGAAATTGCAGCAGAGATGGCGTGGAAGAACTATCTTGCTTCATTCTCTATCTGAAGATGAAACATGTGTAGCTCTCACCAAGTGGGCGAAGTCTTAGTCTATGGCTTTTGTTGGTTCTTTGCAGTCGAAGATAGTAGATAGTGTCATTATTTCGGCAAACCTTTATGCTCTGCTGATGTTGAGAGTTGAGAGTGGCACGATACTTCTCCAAGTGCTTCTGACGGTATTCCTCAGATTTGGTCCAATTGTGCGAAGATTCCAGGAGAAATCGAAAATCATGGAAACAACTAGACTCTACTATATTATATGGGAACTTTCGCAGTGAAAGGCCCCGGTTCGTTCAGACAAGTCTCTTGCATCTTGTCGCTTCCACACAAAACGCCAGAGAGTGGCGTGTCCTGCGTGTGTGGAGCGCCTAAGAAGTTCCTCAGCAACGGGCGTTTGCTCCATGGCAGTGGGAACCCCGTCGTCTTCATCAACCTGCTAACTGCTACTCAACGCATCTCCACACAGCCCAAAACCAACCAACATGTTATTCAAAAGTCTGACTGGACATGATGGCATGATGTACAGTAATGAAGGGCCAAGACAGCAGGATAGGAGTCTCGATCTGTCCAACTCACTCAATGGACACCAACTTCCCATGCACGAGAACCCGGCTTTTTGGAGCGTGCACGGCTCTCACCGTCATCATCCAGCTGCAAAGTGCGCCCAGCAAGGCCTGCGAACAGCACCCGCTGCGAATGTTCCTTCCTTCAGAAGTGAAGAACACAGATTAGTGGTCACCAGGATGGCGTGGATGGCACTAGAGTTTTTTTGGGGCCATTGAACAAAACGACAACAAGAACACCTTTCTCTTATTCTATTTGGATATTATTTTGACATGCTTCGCAAGCAATAATGGCTGGCGGTTGGCTGTGACGCGGTTGGCTTCGCAGACGAAATACGAGCTTCCCACGCGCCTTTCAACATCCCAGAAAGGTCCCCATGTTTTGTTTCATGCTGGTCCTGGCCGCAAATCCAGCCGTTTTGGCTAGTTTCTGGCATCACCAGAGTCAATGCGTACTATCAAAGTTACTATCATGATGAGGATTTTCAAACATTGCAGACATCTTAACTTCTGGGGCAATCTTGTCAAAAAGAGTACTGTATAACTGTCGTGTTCGGATGTCCAACAACAACATGTCTCCGATGTCCCGTGAAAACAGAGTCGAACGTCCATCCAGACGCGCGACGCGACATGACGCGAGCAGGAGTCTGACACGGCCCATCTTGGGCAGTGAATGTACATTCAAGGACACATCCCTCCTTAAGCTCGGTCAACTTGTCACTGCCACAAATCAGCTGCTCCAGACCCTGTGTGTCTGTCACCTGGAGGGTTTTGCTTGAGACATCAACACATCAACACTCACAAAGCTGAAGAGATGTGGTCATTGGATGTCATCGGTGCCCCAAAACACCCGGAGCGACAGCTCCAAAGCCTTGGTAGCTTGACCTCTTCTGTTCATCTTGGCTGGTGGACCCGGTGCCATGACCGCCATGTGAGTGTCTTGTGAGAGACGATGCATGCAGCTTACCACTCCCCTATGGAGCGCCATAGTTGTGATTGTTTGTTGCAGCAACATGGCAGAATCACTCCAATTGAAGCAGCATGTGATTCTGATTGCTTATCCAAGGCACATGTGGGGCACCCCAGAAGTGCCGGGTGCCAGTGATTCTCTCGCCGTTGGCATCTGCCGCCTGGTCTGAGTAGCCTTCCAGGATTCCAGCTCAAGATTGGTCAGTTTCACCAGTTTCACTGCCTGATCATCAACAGCACCAAACCGCTGCAGCCTGCATACCCATTGAAGATTGCGGCCATGCTTGGATTCTCCTCAGACGGATTTTGATTGAACAAATTTGACAACATGCCAGGCTTCAGCTGCTTTGCTGATGACAAGCAGAGATGACCGGCTTGGAAGATATGGCTCAAGCATGCTTATTGCTGGCTATGTGTCCCTAGCGGGAACAGTTTCACAAACATGAGAGACAGAGAGAGATACAAAAAGAGAGTCAGAAATAGACCATCAACTGTGGATCTTCCTCTTCTCATCAACACCTGAAACAACTAATGAGCTATAGCTCTGAGTACCTGAGGTCTCAACATGCTCCACTTCTTCCCAGAACTCTGCCATCTGCTCGCTCCCACAGACCATCTCGGCCATGCCCTGTGGCGTCCAAAACGGCCGTTGGTCGCCTGGAAAACGACCGGTTCGACCAAACCGCCGTGTGTCGTCTCGTTCTCTTTCGCCAAGTGACGGGGGTGTCGGCCTTGGTGACGTCCAAGGAACGAAAACACATGGACGAACTCGAGGAACGAGACATGGAAACGAAAGGAAACGAAAGGAAACGGAACGAGGTTTTGGTGGTTTTGGTGCAGCATCAGTTGGTTTATGGAAAAGATTTTGGATCTTGTCATCTCATGAGCTTGTTCACAACTTGACTTTTGTCCATTAATTCTGGCTTCTAGCTGTATTACTGATGATGTGGATTTTGTCTTGCTCATCATCCTGAAGCAAATGAAACCTTCGGTTCTAAGGAAGGAACCGTATGGGGTGCGCCGATGAAGCAACGTTTGCCTCGCGGCTGCTGGTTCTTCACCCGCTTGCCAGCCTGGGTTCACTGGTTTGTTCCGGCGCAAAAGTGACAAAAAACATTTTGAGCTAAGCCGCAAAGCCGGTCTGCTCCCACTTCCTGAGTTTCAAAAGGTGCCGTGCTGCTCTCACTGAGCTGCTCATGTGGCATCCAAATATATAAATGATGCATCTGATGTGTTCGTCCTGTATTTCTCCCCCAGATGATGCATCTGATGATGCAATGTCGTAGATAGCCACTTTACAACGCCAAGACACGGCTGTTGTGGAGCATTCCGGTGAACAATGTGCCTGCTGGTCTTGGGTCTATTCTCCTGACCGAAAAACTGCCGGTGACACTCTCACCTAGGAAAACCCAAGTGCAGGTGACACTCCGCAGGTGACACTCCGTCCAACAACCATGGAGAAATCTCTGTTTGTAGAAGAATGATGAAGAATGCACTCTTTTCACGAACCATTTTCCATTGATTTACTTGATCTCGTTGGAGTCAGAGTGTGCTACGACTTGTTCTTTACGGCCAAGTCGTACATTTTCGCGTTCTTCACACCGAGGCTTCGAGCCCACCTGCGTCAGGTGCTCAGCGAAGCGCGGCCCGCGACCAAACTTGGGCTGATCCACTGGGCTTTGATCGACCTGTGCTTCACACGCCACCGTCGACGACAGACATGGACCCGCTAGCGGGTCCAGTCGCGTGAACATGGCGGGTCATGGCCAGCCGTTTTGGTTGCTAGTAAGCGTCGGAAGCATTGTTGGTAGGACAAATCTTGTCAATATATAGTAAGACTTAAGAACAGTAAGAACTTTGGAGCCAACAATGCCAAAGCCAGGGCTTTCCCCTTCAAGATCCTTGTCGTGTCTCCTCAACACTCCTCTATCCATTGTCCATTTTACCCGAGAATTCGAACTTCGCCCCTGCCTGTGCTTCGCTGCGCCTGCCGCTGGCCTCCCGATGCATCGCACGAGAGGCCGAATGCGACGTCAGGTCATCCTTGAACCAGATCGTGTCGCCGCGGAAGTTGCCGCCTTGGATCGCATCGGGCTCCGATGGAGAAGAGTCCGAAACGACGCGATGAAGACGAACGACTGGATTGAAGGACTACTATTATTGGACGACTGCCGGCAACCCAGCAACCCACCGCACCGAATGCGAGAGGCTTATATTATATAAACAACACAAAAGCCCAAAGTACCAAGTTGTGTATAAATATACAAAGCACTGGAGTCCTCAATGTCCTGCCCCTGACTTCAGAAAAATGCAACCACATGCTCAACAAAAAGCGGTGGCGAACCAACGCTCATTGCAGCCGCTCTTCGGCGCGGAGTGGAATATCCGCCCGCTGGCATCTTGACCTGGGCAAGACCCTGTCAAGGGAGTGCAGTGACAACCAGCAAAAATTAGTGTTTCTATACATGTTGTATATATATATTATATATATATATATGAGTTGCAGTGGTTGCATTTCGATGTCCGCTTCAAAAGGACATCTCTTGCACGATCATCACTACCTTCATCAAGCTTCTGGTGACTCTACTGCTTGGGCTCACCTAGTTAAACATCTCCACTAAACCTCAATTATTGATCTTCCCAACCAACATGCATGGCATGTCACAGGCGCCGTTCTTTTTCGATAAAGACCACCAAACAGGGATCTTCCCAGTCTAACATTGACCCCTTCCCAGTTACGTCGCTTGCTTCGCCGAAGCCGAGTTTGCACCTTCTCTGTCCTTGCCCCATGAGCCAGCCGAGTCACCGGAGATGGAGCCGAGGGCGTCCGATCCCTGACCGATCGATCGCTCGGCTCGCGCGAACGACACGTCGATCGCGGCTAGGTGCCGACGTGTAGGGGGGGTAGATCTACTGATCAGTGATGTACTATCTACTGATCGATCCTGATGTGATCGATCCTGATGTCCATCTGTCAGTCTTCTGTGATGTCCGGTCCATGGAATCGAAGAGTCTGTCGACAAAAGGGGGAGCCTGAACGGAAGGAGCCTGAAACTCCCTCCAACGCACCAACTATCTCTGTCACCTTTGTGGGCTGAAAAGAGAAGAGTCCGCCCCCCCCCCAAAAAACACATCCAACGTTGGGTAGAACCAACCCATTCAGCTTCTTTCCTTTGCTGACCTGAACGTTGGAAAACATGGGTCGGACTCATTGTTTCAACAACTGGTGCCGTCACGTGCCTCGTTGACGGGGTTGCAGAACGGTCGCCTCAGCGAAGCAGAAGCCATGTTTTTGTAGAAAGAAAAGACCCGGATGGGTAATTATACCCTGGAAGATCAACATGGAACCTGAACACTGCTGGGTTGCAGAGGAAAATCGTCTTCCAAAAATCAATGTTTCAGGTTCCATGCATTCCATGTGGGTCTCTTCCTGGGTGTACCAAACGTTCGAGTTGCTGTGATTGGCTTCGGATGGATTGGCGGATCGGATCGTGCATCGAAGGGACGATGCTTCGGGGTCTCATCCCAGCGCGACTTGCCTTGGTATGGTGAAGAATTGAGAATCTCATACTGCACAGCCGGGCCTTAGTAACAAGAAGCTACTAAGGTTGGAGGCCATCGCTGCTAGGGTGGAGGCCATTACTACTAGTAATAAACAATTTTGCCTCTGTGCTTTGCTCAAAAAAGAACCTGAGTGCCAATACCATCCTGAGGACCAAAGGAGACGTCTCGTGCTCGTGAGGGGGCAGTACTCCTACTCAGGAATCTCAGGTTGATCTCCTTTGCACAAAGATTTATAAGTATCAGAATAAAACAACTCATGAATCCTATTCATCTCATTTTCCGGATCGTCTTCTCCCTGCTCAGTTCGGAAAAACGACCAAGGAGTGGCAGCTTCGGTGCAGTCCTGCTCCGCTCGGGAGCGGTTTGGAGCGGCATCTCTCCGCCTGAGGTGGGATTGTTCACCCGCCAATAGGGGACGCCAATAGGGGGCGTGAGCTGGGCTTTTTCACCGTCGTGAGGTGGGATGAGACCCAGAAAGCATGCAAAAAAACACAGCGTTCGACATACTTTCTGGATCTTTCTGGTGAATATATATTGGATATCGACGTATCTATTTTCTATAACAGGCTCATCTGTCTTGCTCTTCCACTGGTTCAACGGACCATGCCTCTTGGATGGCGACGAATCTCCCTGGCGCTGGTCGAGCGTTGCATGGCACCTGTTGAGGGTTGCACCGAGATGGAGGCGGCAGGCGCCGCACATGCTTTTGACCTGACCTGACACCTGGCCCCTGACCTGTTCAAGAACATATTGTCATGTGTGTGCCGCTTTTTGTTTGCGTCTTCTTGCAGCCCGGCGACTTTTGCCATGATCAGCTGCTGACCTGCGCAAAAAGCCCACCGAATTCATCAAGTCGGCAACCCTCGATTCAGGTGCAGCACACTGCCGTGGCATGCTATGGTCACTTGTCCCATCTGAGTTCCAATTTCAAGCTGCTAGCTGTCATGTTGTCAGCTCCTTCTACCGTTTGAAGACCGAATCCTTTGTGAGACTTCGAACTAAGGCCGAAAATCCGCGAAGCGTGAGTCGTTTTGGCATGGTTTCCAAAGACAATGATGTCGTTTCGACCTGTACTACCTGCCTGTCTAGGAAGGTCACAGCACGCTTTCCGTCATCGCCTCAGGTCGTCAAAATTGAACTGTTCGAGGCGACAACATAATGTATAGACACTTCTTTAATACCCCTCCATAGGAAGAGGTGTTTTGATCCAATTGGAGGTTTATGAATTGAGAGTCTACAATGTCTACATTACTTGGTGTGCTGGAATCTATTCCTCTTTGATTCTGTGAACCACGTGCCAAACTGAAAGAGGAGGAGGAATTCTGCCAGAAGAGGTCTGGGATGGTCTGGGTGTCATGAGAATCACTTGAACAGGGAGGATGAAGATCACACTCATTGGCTGGGCCCCGCCACCCTACCCAGCTCACAGCCCTTGGGAGTCGTGAGCCAAACAATTAATTACATCAAAAGACCTCCTCGTGATGCTGGTGAGGGTTGGACATCGCTACCTCCCATAACCGGTTACTAAGTGGGATGGAACGTTCTTCTGCTCAAACGGCGTGGACGCCCCGTGCCAAGCAATCCGACTGGTGCCACCTCTTCAAAACCAAAACCTCGAAATGATGAGAAAATGAGCCCAGTATTGCTTGGAGTCACCCATGAAGCACCATACAACTGCAGGAAGTTTACACACCATGAAGCACCGGATATTGAAGATCCACGCCGATACCTGCAATACCTGTGGGCCATAATGTTCCACGAAAAAATGCACAAAGTGAAGGACACAGCATGTTCCACACGATCTCCCCTTTGTCCAAACGAATTCCCTCGCTCCAACCGGTTTCGTTTGCTTCATCGCCGCCACAACGCGCACCACGCGCACGTGCCACCACAACACGCACCCGACCGACTTGTCCGAGTCACCATGACGCCGGGCGCTTTGGGCTCGACCGGGCATTGTGTTGCTTGAGCCACCGTGGTGCAACGTGCGCGGTGCACGGGTTTTTCACTGCACCCCATGGCAGAGCGTGGCTTGAAAGATGGGTGTCACAAAAAACGGCCAGCTACTGGTCAGTGCAAGAATGCAACATGACGGTAACAATATGTATAATAATGTATAATATGCACATAAACGGTCTCTTCAAAAAAAAAGCCGTTGGCTGGTGGGTGGGACTTTAGCAAGACCTGCATTTTCTGGAGGAGATATGTCTCTAGAATCCCTACAAGCAAGCACCATCTATGACTCCATTTAGCGAAACAGCTCCGCAAAGGTTGGAAGGCTGAATGATCCGATCAGACTTGGAACATCATCGAACCAAAGCACTTCATGAAGAACAAACATACAGCAGCTTCACTTAGGCCATGTGGTAAGGACATACCGCGTGCTGTGCATCTTCGCCTCGGTCCTGAACCACCGCGTTCGCCGCGAGTTTGAGCTTAGATGAAGCTGCGGATGTGAAGAACACGAATGTGTCATTTGAACCACGGAGTGTCAAAGCGCTATACTGGAAGCAATCCAGGTTTGCGCGCAAAAGTTACTGTTGGATGAAGCAGATATATCAAATTGGGAGCATAGGCATGAAGCAAACTTGCACTGTCAGCAAAAATCCTCAAAATCACTGAAGTTTCATTCTACTGTACTTAAACATTCGCTGGAATCAATCTCCATGCTTTGAGCACTTTTCTCCTTTGGGCTCCGCTCAAGCACCTTGAACGAAACATGAAGCAATTCCAAACATTCGGGTCAAAACGAATGGTTTCAGACCACACCAGACTGACTATACTGGGACTGAGCAAAACAATGCAAAGCATAAGTCAAGCTCGATGGTTGGGTGGTACCCCAAAACTTCAAGGGTTGAACATGAGTCGCAAAAGAACTGTGAGCTGGTGTAAGAATTAGAACATGATCACATGTTCTCAGAGTTCCCAAAACACATTGAGAGTGCAGCATCTGGGGCACCACGCCCTCCATTGCACTGGACTTTCGCTTGAGCTCTTGCCGAAGGCTGACATGCGGAGCGCTTGGCGGAGAGGGTGTCACGTTCAAAGGTTCAAATTGCATTTGTTTGATCAAGCAAAGAGGTGGATTCAACACCTGCTTCCACCGATCTTGGAGTGGATGTTGGATTCCGGGCTCCACAGAGAGGACACGTGGCCAGACCGAAGAACCACATACTCTAGAACACCAATGGAAGTCCCGAACCACAAACTGCTGGCAAAGCACAAACATCTTCCACCTTCACCTTCATGCACCTGAGGGTCTTGATCAAACACCATGCTTTTGGGTGCCTTGCGTTGACTGCAAGTTGCCCAACGCCAGCCTCTCCCACTGCGAGCGAGGAGGGTGCTGGTCCACGCAACGTCCCCTCAGAGGTTGCCGTGACAGGCATGACTTACGGTCATGGGCAGTGGCGGGGCGCTGTGCGTAGCCAAGGCCCCACACCCACGAGTGCAAGCATTGTTCAGGTAATTGAAGCAAACCTGATTCGTCTCTTCATGCAACTATGAAGCAACAAACACCTGAACGATGAACCATTAAACAGGTGGTTGGTAGATCATGCATTGTTGGTGGAACTCCCCAACAGTCAGCAGGTATAGCAGTACAGGACATGTAAGGAATTGGCTGGCTAAAAAGGATGCAACATGATGCAACACCATTGCTCTTGCCTTTTGTAAATCTTTACTTTGCACTTTGAAGACTTTACATGACTTTACTTGCTTTCTTTTCAAGAACATGTGTAGAAACTGGAAACGCACGAAGTTCTCCAGCAGAAAGGTGGATCG